ACAGTTCAGGGTCATGAAGGGACAGTGCCCAGACATCAAGGCAACTCAGGGGGGACGTGACGCTGCAATGCAGAGAGAAAGAGAGAGAGCGAGAGAGAGAGAGACAGGGAGAGAGCGGGAGAGAGAAAGAGAGAGAGGGAGAGAGAGAGAGAGAGAGACACAGAGAGCGAGAAAGAGAGAGAGACAGAGACAGAGACAGGGACAGAGACAGACAAAGACAGAGAGAGAGAGAGACACAGAGAGAGAGAGAGAGAGAGAGACAGAGAGAAAGAGCGAGAGAGAGAGAGAGAGAGAGACTAGGTCCTCCAGTAGAGAGGTTAGAATAAGGGTGCCCGTTTTCTGTAGAGAGGCGTGGACAGGAAGGAGACAGGGAGACAGAAAGAGACAGAGACACAGAGAGACAAAGGAGAGAGAGAGAGAGAGCGAGCGAGAGAGATAGAGAGATAGAGAGAGACAGAGACAGGGAGATTGAGGAGAGAGAGGCTTGGGGGGATGGGGAGGATGGGGAGCAGAGGGAGGGAGAGAGGACGACAGAACACGCGGGGGAGGAGACAAGGGAGAGAGGAAGAAGGAGAAGAGGGAGAGGATAATGTCGGCGGACTGAGCCGGAGGCTCAAAAGTTTTATTGGGAGGAATTGGGAGGCCCTGGCCTTCTGGTCTGAACCGAGCCACTGGAGGCTTCCTTTGAGGTCCTATCACACACCCCACCAATAGCAGATTCATCTTAAAAAGGGCAAACAAGTGATGGTTGAATCCCCAAAAAGCGACATGTGAGGACCCCTGTTAGAGAATCCGTTCAGCGATTTCTTCTGCCGCGCGGCTCTCCGAAAGCTGCACGGAACTCGGCCAGCTCCTGCTGAAGTTGCGAATTCTGGCTGACAAAGGGCGCAGGGAGGCTTCTCAACTTGCACGACATGAATGGAAAACGATCCACATTAAGCAATTAGGTGCACATTGCACACATAAGCACAATCAGAGTGGAATGCAAAACTGTGGCTGCGTGAACTCACACGCCCTAAAATTGGTAGCTGCTGGGAAAGAGCCACCATTTAGGGGCCTCCTCTTTTGCAAGCAACCCCCCCTTTGCTGGAACGTCCTCAGAACCTCACCCAGCGCTGTGCTTGCTTCCCCACTGCACACAGAGAACCCCAATTGGGGACAAACATGGCTTTTTGATAGCATCTGGATGGATTCTGGTTGGCACAGCCTCCAGCAAAAAAAATGAGACCCAATTTATGATCCTGTGCAAGCGGGGGCCCGGGCAAGCTGGATCCTTCCCTTGCCCCGTCATGGCTGAAGATGAATCGTTCAAAGTTGGTCGGTTTCAGTTGGGGATCCAGGAAACATCCGAACAGGAAATGAGGCTCTTTGTTGGTTGTTTGAAGGGAGGCCCAAAGGAAAACTCAAAGAAAAGCACCCAAAGCGCAGCCCAAAAAAGGCGGAAAAAGCCGGCTCGCGGCTCGCTAACAATAAAGGAATCCCCAACAGTGCTGCCATCTGTCTATCGTGACAGTGTTCTCACTAAAGAATCCAAGCATGACCTGCATCTCCGAAGTTGATGGCTCAACAAACGTCTGAACATGTTGCTTCCAACTAGTAGGGCCCTTTAAAGGAGCGACGTTTACCTTTGGTTTCCTTTCATAATAGCCCCACTTCCTCTTGATTCACACACGCTTGTCGGAATCTACAGCAGGGTGCTTCACTATTGGAACCACCAGTCTCCTTCCAACCACTTCCAGCCAACCAGCCCCCATGAAAAATTCATAAAACAAACTCCGGAAAGGAGGAACGACCCGCTTCAAACAAGTCAAAATCAAAACGACCTTGCTCATGAAGTCAAATCGTACTGAATTTTCAGGGTATCTTTTCGCGTGGTTGAAATGGGGATTGGGAGGCAAGCCGCACGATTTGGGGGGAGGGGGGGAGTCTCATGGTGTACCAACCAAAGTGAGATCTTGTACCTTGTAAAAAAAACACCAAACAATCGACCCCAGAAATGATTGAAAACAGGGTTCCCTAAACGCACAAAGGAGAGGGGCCTGACCAAACCCGCGAACAACCGCACAAAGGGCTCGGCCTCAAAAGCAAAAGGGAACCAAACCTGGCTGACCTTTGAAACACCAAAATTAGGAAACGGAGCCGGATGGAGCCAGGTGCACCGTCTCCTTCCAGTTGATCTGCGTGCCGGGGATCCCGTGCCCACACCACAGCAGGCGCCCGGCCACCGCCACCGCCGAGGCCGCCACCACCAGGTCCTCCCGCCGCGCCGCGCCTTGAGAGGGGGGGACGTCCGGGGGAAATCGGACCCAAAAAGAAATCCGGGCAAGGTTATTCTTGGACATGTCAACAGCCTGGGGCTGGATTTCCAAGGTAATGTTTGTTGATCAGGCAAAAGGGGTCACATGCGCAACCGCGAGAGAAGTCTGGCCAAAACCCAGGGGAAGGAAACTCATGGACCGGCCGAAACCCTGGTTAGGTGTCAAGGTGACACGTTTTCCCAACCCCAGTCCTGTTCCTGACCTGCATGTTACTTTGTGGCATTTGGGCCCAGAGAAACTGGTTGGGGACCAAACAAATCACTTAAAGAATCATGAGCACCGCAAAGTCGGGCCTGAAAAGAGGCGTTGTGACATTTGACGGGTGGCATTGCAGCCACCCTTTGTTGGAAAAAAACGCCCGCTTAACGGTGCTCCTTGGAAAAGACAAAAAGCTGGGGCCGATGCACGGACAACCTGGTGCTCACCTTTTTAAGGGGAAAGGCTTTGGCGAGACCAGCCGGGTTTTGAGTGTTCCCATGTTCGGCAAAATGGTTGTGGGCCAGTTTGGAGGGTGTGTCTGCGGATGGCTTTGAAAGGAAATAGACTTTGCAAACAGCTCAGCAAATGTTCCTGACACATTCAAAACACACCAAAACTGGCAGTCTCCCGTGCCCTTCATGCCCAAGCGAAACCATTGCAATGTGAACCCGAAGCTGAGGCAGAAGATCGAATTATTGCTGCTCCCGCTCGCAAGCTGCGGGTGGCCCCCATGTCACCGAGCTCCCATTCCTTAAATCTATTGCGGCCTGCTGGTGCTTGCATCCTAGCATTCGAAGCAGCACTCCCGACCTTCTGTCCACCTGAATGCTTCTAAAAATTGAGGAACGGTTCAGATGGCTGGTCTCAGTTTGTTCCCTCAGAAAGCAGCTGAGTCAGAGATAGGAAAAAAACACAACACACACACAAACAAAACAGGGGATGATACAGGCCTTCTGGATTCTAATCGACCTCGTCTCAAGGACAGCTCCACCTCTCCCCTATCGCCCCTGCCTTTGGCCGCCAGGTTGGCCAACTTGACCCAGCCGGTAAAGTCAAAGGGCCTGCCGAGCTCGAGACATTGCGGGTTCTGACGGTACCCCTTTTCGGGTTTGAGATAGGGAATTCAAATGGAAGCTAAGGAGAAATGCAACGGAACCAAACCAACACAAACCAAAGGAAAACGAATGAGAAAACACCCATTGTTAGGAGCTCTGGAGTAACCAAAAGACAAACCCATCAAAGGAGTTCAACTGAGTTGGCGGAAGCTGGGGTCAAATTTGGTCACAGCACAGTCACCAGTACACCCTCGATTTGAAGGAAATTGGAAAACACGGCAAACATGTGGGCACATCAGCCAGATAGACCGCAACTCACTCGCTCACAAATCCTCAGCATCCTTGATGCTCTCAGACTTTTGGCGGCAACGCTTTTGCACCCATCAAAAGCTCTCGTTCCAAGCACCCTTCTAGCCCAACTTCCCAGATTTCTCAACATGGATGGTTCCCCTTTGATTTCCGTTTTGAACTTTAAAATGGGTACCCTCAATTAACATCCCCATGTGTATTTGAAATTCCTCTGTCAATACCTGGCCTCCCCCTGAGGCCCTTCTTGCACTCCTGAACGTGGAGCCTGAAGAACCCATCTGCTTTTCCAGGAATCCCCCCCCCAGCTCTTCTTGGCTTCCTGCCGCTCATTTGCTGAGTCAAGGCCGACCACTCCGTTCGCCTGGAGGAGATGATCACCTGCAGCACGGCGTAGGCCACCGCCAGCGAACAGCCCCGGCACCAGCTGTAGGACTCCTCCTCCGAAGCCTCTGACTTCTGCGCCTGCTCCACGGCCTCCGAGAACGGCGGCAGAGCGGTTCGCCCTGGTGCCGCTGTCTCACAACCCCACCCCCTTCTAAGGACCTGTTGGCAATAACTCGAAAAACATGTCCCTGTTTTTGGAGCCAACTTGGCATGTCTGCAAGAGAAAACCACTACCACCGTCGGGGCTTCGCTGGAGATCGCCATGCTTTGTCCAGCCCTTGTTGGAACCCCATTCCAAGCGGCTCACAAAACTGTGTAAACGTCTGAAAGCCAAACCTGAAATAGAGGAAGCTAAACAGCCAACACACAGTACCCAGATCCTGTGAGTGCTCTACGACCTCGACACGAAAGCCTGAAAACATGTTCACAGGTACTGAAGCATTGGGCCCTTGCGTTTTTCCCAATTCCGTAGTGAGAACAAGCAAGATCAGCAGCACCCCAGGAGCCACACAGTTGCAAGTCGTTTCAAGCAGATCTTGGTCTCAACATTGTGACTGGGGCATACAGACACGTGAAATCCTTGTGGAGGTCCTTCCCTTTTTTGGGCGTGGACATTGGTCCCTTTTTCAAGGAACCGGAGAAAGGTCGTCCAAACAGCCAGCTTCAAACCTCTTCGTTCTCACCGCCTGCACCACGGGCTCGTGGATGCAGCTCCGCATCCTCCGCGCGAAGTCCGGCGCGGAGTAGTTCCGGCGCCAAGGCTCCGCCTGCGCTCGACGCAGGGGATGGGACCAGGGCAGGTATGCCGTGAGCTTCGGCGCGCCCTCCAGCAGCAGCGCCTGCGTTTCATATGTTGGGCCTTGAATCAAGATGGAGGGAGGGGTGGCAAAATGGCCTCGAGAATGGGGGGAGCTCCTTTTGGCTTGCCTTTGAACCAGTGTGTGGAATGGGTATCTTTAAAGGCACACACCTCCTACCTCCAGGTTTAGTCCATTAATGTTTTCCACAAGGTGTGTTTGGGGGGCGGTGTGCTTGAGCAGATTTGACTGCTGGATCAAGTGAGCCGACTCTCAGTCTTGCTTGCCTGGCCGCGGCACAAAAGGGCTTGGCATGGCTTGGCCTCTTTTTCAATTTGATCCGAAGAACAAACGCCAGACGATTTGCGTTCAGACGAGGCGGCCAACGAGTCACACGGCGAGGGGCGCCTGGTTGGAGGGCTCCACGAAGCAGCTCCGGGCCTCCGGCGCCACGGCCTCCCGCAGCTCCAGGGTCACCCGTCGCATCAGCTCCAGGCACCTCCCGTCCCGGCCCCAAGGCTGTCCCCGAAAAGGCCCCCGAACGGCCCGGACCCTTCCCAGATTTGGGCAACCCATGCGGATTCGAATCCGATTTTGAGGTTCCGGCCGGGTGCCGGAAAGGAACGAAAAACCGAAACCATGTATCCTTAGGGCCCAACTGCCCGCCCTGCCTCGACTTGCTGTAGGTGGCGTGGTGGGGGTTCTTCACCAGCACCTCCATGGTTGTGGCAATACCTTTCTACACAAATGGAGCTCGCATCCCCATGACTTTGCCACTTTGGGATTCCATAAGGGTATCACAAAAATGGCAACCTACCCGTTTTCCCGCCATGCCTTGTGCGTGAGCAGCACGTGCTGGGGAAACAGCGCATTTGCCAAGGAGGACAACCTGCGACAACATCCCAACCAGATGGGACTGGGCACCGGGCTGAGTCCTGTTCTATCCATAAATCTGCCAAATCGATGCCGAACTCATCCTGGTCATGAGACCCTCCGAAGAGGATTTAGAGTAACCTCTGAACTGGCATGCTTCCCTTGTACCCACACATTCCGGCAAAATGCCTGATTGTTAAACTACAAAATTACAAAACTAGAGATAAGACCCTCCCCCCAAGAAAGGAATCTTGTTTGCCTCTAGGTGAGCTTGTTGTGACATGTCCAGATATGATTCAAAAACAACAAAAGCCCGGCTGCGCATCCTGCCCGAATGAGCACAAAGGCGCCTCCACTGAGACACCCACTGACAATGGGCATCCAGGTCGGTGACATAAGGCAGCAGCCAGACCGAGGCATCCGAGTGCACGGCCACGACCGTGTGGTCGAAATTCAGAACGCTGCGCACTTCAGAAGGATCCTCCGTGGGCCATTGCCTACTCAGCAAAACAAATGCAAACGGTAGAAAGGATCAAGCCACCTGTGAAACTGATCAAGGAGCAAAGCTCGGCACCAGGGCCTCGACGAACGAAACCCATGAAGCAGATTCCAATCTTAGAGCAATTCCATTGCGCCATATGCAACCAACGATTGCTTCTCAATGGCTCAACCAGTTCAACACAACTTCCCCTCCAAAAATCCAAGCACGGTATTCAATCTGTCAGCTCAACCGCTTGCAGCTTGAGACTCGGTGTCCAAATACTCGTCCAAAATCTGGCTGTAGTCGTAGAGCCCTGGCAACAGGGCTAGGCCATCCCCTTGTTTAAACACGCTTAAAGCATTGTTTGAACAAATCTTTCTTTCCTGCAGCAGCACCCAAAACCACATTGACTTTGGGTTCCGCCAACATGCTCATAGGTCTATACAGCCATGGAACCAGGCACTAGAACCCCTGAGTTTCACAGGTGGCTTAAACGTTCTTGTGCAATCCAGGACTGATAAATCCTTTGGTTGACAGGTTGCTGAATCCTGGGTCAACATTATGCAGAACAAGCAAATCATGTTGAAGCCAAAATGTTACTGAGAACACGCGCAAGTTGAGTCTTAACCAAAGTCGAGAAGTGATGGCGTTTGGCCCAAACCAACCTTGCAAACTTTCTCAATTTCGTCGTTCAGAACTACCGTCATGCTTCTTTGTTTGTGCAAGAAAGCCCTTGTTGCTCTCTTTTGGTCTCAAAGTTTGCTCAACCCGCCTGGCAAGCCCACCGCAGGCTCCCAGGTCCACAGGAAGTCTTCGAAGTGTTGCCAGCTCTGAGGCCAGCTGTCCACCGACGCATCGGCGTCTAGGAAGGTGTAGTAGGTGTACCGGTATCCTCGGGAACGGCCGAAACAGGAAACAGGGTCCAGTCAAAGGGTCGAAACTGCACCTTCAACGGGGTCAAAACAAAGGGGGGTCGATTGGAGGGGGTTCCAGCCTATAACATCACCCCACCCACATGAACTAGCACAAAAAGTCGGGGCTGTTGACCATCATGAATCAGGAAATTCTTGGACCCCTGCCAAAGTAAATAGCTGGTGATGGGAAGAGAAGGGACCTCTTCACCATTTACTTTCATCTCTTTCTTCATAGCCTTTCTATTTCGATTTCCCTCACCCAATCTCTGATGTAGGGAGGGGGGAAATAGATTGAGGCATGGGATGGCTTCCTTCAGTCCATCGGGTTCGTTCGCAGAGTTACTTGGCCCGGAGCCCGCTTCGGCCAAGCTTCCCAAGCGGTGCTCCCATACCGCCGCGGCTGCGAAGAGGAAGTTCCGCCCCTCTGCAAGCAAGGAGTTCGGGAAAAACAGCGCATCCTGCCTGGCCAGGAATGTGAATACGAAATCCTCTGCAACCATTCACGGGACAAGTTATATTGTTGGTTCTGAACAAGAGACTTCATGCAATATGTCGCAATTTAAGACGTTTACTGGTCAATTGGGAGAGGCGCTGATGCTCTTCAGGGATTTGTCCTTCCTCAACATGACTGAGAAGCAATATCTATGCTGTAAGAGCTCAAATAATTGGAACATGGTTGTGGAGGACCAGACATGACTACAGCAAACAAATCATATTAGCGATCATTGATTATGTCAGCCCCTTACACTACTCGCCAAACTGCTCACTTCAACGGAACAACACGCCTCCGTGTCCGGAAGGTGAGCCTAAAGACATCCGCCCCGGCATCCCAGAAGGCGGACTCCTTAGCAGTTACCTGAGGCACAGGCCAAAGACAAGTCAGAAGCCTGGTGGCGATTTGGACAAAAAGGGCTTCCACTAAGAAATGGCCATAACCAAACTGGACATCCAATTGCCACACCTATGGTCAGGACGGTTTCGGATGGTGCGACCAGAAAATAACTGTGCGACATCCACAAAATGTGGATTGCCGTATAGCGCTTTCACGAATATAGGCTAGCTGCAGGCGCACCTCATTCCAACTCCGCCATGCCATGGTGGTAAAACTTTGGTTCCCTTATTGCGAACCGTTGTCATGATTTTATAGATTCCCAATGAAGGGGTTCCCTACCAACCCCAAGTAAACGGGCCTGTTGACCATGCCAATGTATGCCGCAAAAGTACGGCAACAGGCAGCTGACACTTCGGAGCGCCAAACTCAGCGTTTTGACCAACAGTGAAGGAACTTGCGTAGGGCTCGAACGAGTGATCAACCTTCAAACATGTTTATGAGTTGCAATACGGAGCAAACGCAAAAAAGGCTGGTGGACATACATGTAAATGATGTCCCCCCCCCACAAAAAAAATAAATATCGGATCCAAACGGACCTGTTTGATTTGATTTGGTCTTTCAAAATGAGTGACTCACCCAAACTTCCTGGCATCGGAAGGGTTCTGTTCATGGAGGTGTTCCCCACACTCATTTCACCAAACTGGAGGGCTGGCCGAGAGCCCGAAATCCCTAGAAAGGAACCACGAATGGGACTCTTCGGGATGCGGCACAGCCCAACTGCTACCGTCAGCGCCGGCCCCGCACTCGGACACCCCTGAAATGCATCCGCTGAAATCCCTCATCATCAACTCAAGCCCTCCATACGCTATATCCACCTACAGGCACAAGCTCATCTCCTTTCAACCCCCTCTTCCGTCTTTCATTTTCTCGAGGGGTCTTGGCGCGTCACTGGCGTGATCATTTTGCGCTACTCGCTCACTGCAACCTGGTGGCATCCTCCTCACCTGGCGAGAGATTTGGGCCCAATGACCAAAAACTGGGTATGTGGTTGAATACGCTTGGGGGACCAAATTCACGTCGGAGACTTGTATCCACCAGTCAACTTTGAGGTTGTTCCTCATTGAGTTAATAGATTCGCCAGTTTTTGTCCTGCATTGCGCATGGTCTACTCCTCCAAGAAAACAGAAACCAACAGAAAACAAAAGTGGGAGGAGCTCACGGAATTTGCATTTCCCCTCCCAGTTTGAGTTGTTCTTTCCGAGTGTTCTTGGTTGTGTTTTCTTGGGGGAAAACCTCCAGACCTCCTCCCCAACCAAACCCCTGCCGAAAACTCGGGAAACAAATGAGACTCCAAAAAATAAACAACTTCTCAGCTCCAAACTCAACCTGAAACTCCTGTGGCGGATCGTGTTCAAGAGGGCTTTTCTCCGAGTTTCTCCCGAGTTGCAGGCTGATCTTTGTTCTGTCTGTTTTCAGTTGATGTTTGAGTTTCTTTTCGTGCTTCTGAACCCTCCTCCGTCTGATCACTTCCGACAATAAGTATGCTAAAATTAAACAGACTTGGGATTACCCCCCCCCTCAAAACCAGCTTCTCGAAAGATGCGAGGTTTTGATCCCCGCGTATGGCCGTTGACGGCCTCCCCCTGTCTTCGCCTTCGATGAGGCAAGCGATGGCCCGGTGGCCCAGCGGCAAGGCGCGGGCCGCCAGCACCTGCTGCGACCTCGGGACCCGGGGATTGCACAGCCACAGCTCTTGCGGTTCTTTTGCTTTTTTGGCTCCCCGTTCTTTTCCTTCGGGGCAAACTGCTCGTTTCGAGCAAATGAGATCAGTATATCCTTGCCCAGGTGCTTGGATGCTTGTGAAGTGATGCTGAGCCAAAAACAAAACAGGCTGGTAACAAGGCATGCGGGATGCAAACCACGGACAGGGTTCTGTCACGCTGCCGCAACTTGGATGAGCAGCCGAGCAAGGCTTGACTGCCCCAAAAAAAAAGGTGACAGGAAAGGACGCAGTGTCGCAGGTCGCAGGTGTGACAGTTGGGTCCCTTGCCTTGGATGTGCATATGGTGCCACTCAACTGTGACGCCTAAAATTCCCTTCCAAGGCTATCTTGAGCAGAGTAAAACGAACTCCGTGTGTCGTTCTGGGGTCATGCCACGGAAGGTATGGCCGAACTCCTGTCAAAACAGACTCCGCTGTGTGGAATCCCAGCCGCGGAGCAGGTGTGGGAAGTTCATGTCAAATTTCGAGGGCGGCGTTTGCGCATTTACCGGCCTACGCATCATTTCTAATCGTGGCCGGAACAATGGGGTGGCTATGTGGCAATATGGGAATGAAATGGAATTGGGGAACTGTTGGTGGCCCTTGTGACCAACCAAGATTCAAGCCGAGCTTTTGCCTTCCCTTTTCGATAGCCCCAAGAGCACCAACTCTCCAAACAAAAACCCTCCATCCCAAAACCTGCTGGCTCCCATCTTTGAGGCTGCGGTGCAGAGCGGGCCAGTCATCTTGACTCAGCTGGCGCCCATAGAGCGGGTGATGCCTAGTGACTCGAAAACCCATGGAGTTATCTCCACATGCTGCTGATGGACAAAATGGTTGCAAAGGTGCGTCACGCGTGTATACAAATCATACTATGATCCCTGTTGAAGCAGGCAATAGAATTAGAAGCCACTCACAAAGTGGCCAATAGGGATTCGACCAAAATGGAGAAAGACAGGTCTGTATAGCCCTGACTATAAGTGCTAGTAAACCAGAGAGTCGAAGCCTTGGATTGGTCAATACTGTGGATGGACAAAATTCCACGCAGATTGGAATGGACGAAACCTTGCGAATACTGGAAAAGACCGCCAAGGGATGCGAAGTGGATCTATCCGCACTAGGCCCCTGCAAATAGGCGGGTTCCTTTGGTTTCTCAGAACCCATGGGGCCATGGGAAGGCAATTTTCCGTATTAATCCGCAAGGTTTAGTACTCCGGGGCCGGCATTCGAGAACCCCAAATGGTGTAGTGTATGGTGGTGGGTTCCGTCTTAAATCCAACTACCCTCAAAACTATGAACGAACACGTGCATCCCCAACTTGGACATGTGAACATGTATAAGTATTGGCTCTTGTCAGCAAGCTGTGGCAAGGTGATACCAAGAACTGTCGTCATGTCGTCATCATGTCCTCAGTCACAGAAAATATTGGCCGTTTGAAAGGAATTGGAGTTGGTCATGCCTTCTGACTCGGCCTCTGTTTGTGGATTGCCTTCCTCAGTCATGGAAGGAGTATTGGCAAAGCAAGCCTTGCAGGATTCAGGGGCCATTGGCTTGCACCGAAGCGGCAAACACATGGAAAAAGCACCAAACAGGACTCACAGTAAACATCACCCCACCAGCGGAAATCATTTTGATTATTGCCCTAAACGATCACGTCTCAGCCATCCAAAATAAGGAAATACATTGCACTAGGAGGGTTTGGGAATCCCCACAGGTCATGAAGCATCACCCAAGCTCACTTCGCCCTGCGTGCGCATTCCCACAGGGCCTAACTATTTCACGAGCAACCTGGTGACAACAAAGCCACCATGTGCATGGATGACACAGTCTGTGTCCATAGACCATACGTGCCAACCCTATGTGTCATAACCATCCATCCCAACCATCAGAGAAAATATATATAATCCAAGCCAAGCTAGTCAAGCCGACAAACATCACTCCCAAGCATTAGTCCCAAACGGGGCCCGGATTAGGAGTATATGTTGTGCTAGTCACGGAAAAGGGACTCTAACCAAAACTAAACGCCAACCTTTTTCCAACGCTTCATTGTCTTGACAATCTGCCCTTTGCCCTGGAAACCCAGCTATACATTGATTCCCTTTCACATTCACACAAAAAACAGCATGTCGGCCTTGGTACCTTAGCACGTCTCTTTGCTTGTGGCATCCCTCCCTTGTATGCGGAAGCAGGGCCTAAATCAAGGCACAAAATACTATGTTTCATGAATTGGACACAAGGAATCTCTGAGAAAGGTGCCTTCTTCATTCATCATGGGTGGGATCGCGTGCGCTCCTAATTGGGGAGAGAGAGATTGCCACCATCGGCTCAAATTCCTTGGGCCTCAGCAGCTGCTCCCGCCGCAGCCGCGCCGAGGCAAGCAGCGTGGCCGCCCACATCTCTCGCCATGGGCGCCGCAACTTTGCCGGAACCGTGACAGCGAGCCGCGTTTTGGGCTCTCTGAACTCGGACTATTGCCCTGAGAAGCTGAGCCTAAGGTTGAAGCGTTGGGCTCAATATGTCTGGTGCGAGACGAGGAAAATCCCGCGGCTTGGAGTGCTTTGCTGGTGTATACGGCTAAGAAACTGTGCTTTTCACAATGATGGAAAAGAAGCGGTTTATGAATGGAGGTTGAGACTGGAACTGTTCCAGGTTGGTGAGTGAGGCAAAGTGCACCCACCGGACCTCAGTTTGTGCTTTTCCAGAAGCCATGGAAGGATTTTCCCGTGCTTGAGACGCCCTGTTTGCAACGCTTTGCTCGGGCGATTGCACGTCGCAATCACCTCACACCCAGGTGACA